GAGGTGCAGTAGTATTGGAGGTGCAGTAGTATTGGAGGTGCAGTAGTATTGGAGGTGCAGTAGTATTGGAGGTGCAGTAGTATTGGAGGTGCAGTAGTATTGGAGGTGCAGTAGTATTGGAGGTGCAGTAGTATTGGAGGTGCAGTAGTATTGGAGGTGCAGTAGTATTGGAGGTGCAGTAGTATTGGAGGTGCAGTAGTATTGGAGGTGCAGTAGTATTGGAGGTGCAGTAGTATTGGAGGTGCAGTAGTATTGGAGGTGCAGTAGTATTGGAGGTGCAGTAGTATTGGAGGTGCAGTAGTATTGGAGGTGCAGTAGTATTGGAGGTGCAGTAGTATTGGAGGTGCAGTAGTATTGGAGGTGCAGTAGTATTGGAGGTGCAGTAGTATTGGAGGTGCAGTAGTATTGGAGGTGCAGTAGTATTGGAGGTGCAGTAGTATTGGAGGTGCAGTAGTATTGGAGGTGCAGTAGTATTGGAGGTGCAGTAGTATTGGAGGTGCAGTAGTATTGGAGGTGCAGTAGTGTTGGAGGTGCAGTAGTATTGAGGTGCAGTAGTATTGGAGGTGCAGTAGTATTGGAGGTGCAGTAGTATTGGAGGTGCAGTAGTATTGGAGGTGCAGTAGTATTGGAGGTGCAGTAGTATTGGAGGTGCAGTAGTATTGGAGGTGCAGTAGTATTGGAGGTGCAGTAGTATTGGAGGTGCAGCAGTATTGGAGGTGCAGTAGTATTGGAGGTGCAGTAGTGTTGGAGGTGCAGTAGTATTGGAGGTGCAGTAGTATTGGAGGTGCAGTAGTATTGGAGGTGCAGTAGTATTGGAGGTGCAGTAGTATTGGAGGTGCAGTAGTATTGGAGGTGCAGTAGTATTGGAGGTGCAGTAGTATTGGAGGTGCAGTAGTATTGGAGGTGCAGTAGTATTGGAGGTGCAGTAGTGTTGGAGGTGCAGTAGTATTGGAGGTGCAGTAGTGTTGGAGGTGCAGCAGTGTTGGAGGTGCAGCAGTATTGGAGGTGCAGTAGTATTGGAGGTGCAGTAGTATTGGAGGTGCAGTAGTATTGGAGGTGCAGTAGTATTGGAGGTGCAGTAGTATTGGAGGTGCAGTAGTATTGGAGGTGCAGTAGTATTGGAGGTGCAGTAGTATTGGAGGTGCAGTAGTATTGGAGGTGCAGTAGTATTGGAGGTGCAGTAGTATTGGAGGTGCAGTAGTATTGGAGGTGCAGTAGTATTGGAGGTGCAGTAGTATTGGAGGTGCAGTAGTATTGGAGGTGCAGTAGTATTGGAGGTGCAGTAGTATTGGAGGTGCAGTAGTGTTGGAGGTGCAGTAGTGTTGGAGGTGCAGTAGTGTTGGAGGTGCAGTAGTGTTGGAGGTGCAGTAGTATTGGAGGTGCAGTAGTATTGGAGGTGCAGTAGTATTGGAGGTGCAGTAGTATTGGAGGTGCAGTAGTATTGGAGGTGCAGTAGTATTGGAGGTGCAGTAGTATTGGAGGTGCAGTAGTATTGGAGGTGCAGTAGTTTGGAGGTGTGCAGTAGTATTGGAGGTGCAGTAGTATTGGAGGTGCAGTAGTATTGGAGGTGCAGTAGTATTGGAGGTGCAGTAGTATTGGAGGTGCAGTAGTATTGGAGGTGCAGTAGTATTGGAGGTGCAGTAGTATTGGAGGTGCAGTAGTATTGGAGGTGCAGTAGTATTGGAGGTGCAGTAGTATTGGAGGTGCAGTAGTATTGGAGGTGCAGTAGTATTGGAGGTGCAGTAGTATTGGAGGTGCAGTAGTATTGGAGGTGCAGTAGTATTGGAGGTGCAGTAGTATTGGAGGTGCAGTAGTATTGGAGGTGCAGTAGTATTGGAGGTGCAGTAGTATTGGAGGTGCAGTAGTATTGGAGGTGCAGTAGTATTGGAGGTGCAGTAGTATTGGAGGTGCAGTAGTATTGGAGGTGCAGTAGTATTGGAGGTGCAGTAGTATTGGAGGTGCAGTAGTATTGGAGGTGCAGTAGTATTGGAGGTGCAGTAGTATTGGAGGTGCAGTAGTATTGGAGGTGCAGTAGTATTGGAGGTGCAGTAGTATTGGAGGTGCAGTAGTATTGGAGGTGCAGTAGTATTGGAGGTGCAGTAGTATTGGAGGTGCAGTAGTATTGGAGGTGCAGTAGTATTGGAGGTGCAGTAGTATTGGAGGTGCAGTAGTAGTTGGAGGTGCAGTAGTATTGGAGGTGCAGTAGTGTTGGAGGTGCAGTAGTATTGGAGGTGCAGTAGTATTGGAGGTGCAGTAGTATTGGAGGTGCAGTAGTATTGGAGGTGCAGTAGTATTGGAGGTGCAGTAGTATTGGAGGTGCAGTAGTATTGGAGGTGCAGTAGTATTGGAGGTGCAGTAGTATTGGAGGTGCAGTAGTATTGGAGGTGCAGTAGTATTGGAGGTGCAGTAGTATTGGAGGTGCAGTAGTATTGGAGGTGCAGTAGTATTGGAGGTGCAGTAGTATTGGAGGTGCAGTAGTATTGGAGGTGCAGTAGTATTGGAGGTGCAGTAGTATTGGAGGTGCAGTAGTATTGGAGGTGCAGTAGTATTGGAGGTGCAGTAGTATTGGAGGTGCAGTAGTATTGGAGGTGCAGTAGTATTGGAGGTGCAGTAGTATTGGAGGTGCAGTAGTATTGGAGGTGCAGTAGTATTGGAGGTGCAGTAGTATTGGAGGTGCAGTAGTATTGGAGGTGCAGTAGTATTGGAGGTGCAGTAGTATTGGAGGTGCAGTAGTATTGGAGGTGCAGTAGTATTGGAGGTGCAGTAGTATTGGAGGTGCAGTAGTATTGGAGGTGCAGTAGTATTGGAGGTGCAGTAGTATTGGAGGTGCAGTAGTATTGGAGGTGCAGTAGTATTGGAGGTGCAGTAGTATTGGAGGTGCAGTAGTATTGGAGGTGCAGTAGTATTGGAGGTGCAGTAGTATTGGAGGTGCAGTAGTATTGGAGGTGCAGTAGTATTGGAGGTGCAGTAGTGTTGGAGGTGCAGTAGTGTTGGAGGTGCAGTAGTGTTGGAGGTGCAGTAGTAGTATTGGAGGTGCAGTAGTATTGGAGGTGCAGTAGTATTGGAGGTGCAGTAGTATTGGAGGTGCAGTAGTACTGGAGGTGCAGTAGTATTGGAGGTGCAGTAGTATTGGAGGTGCAGTAGTATTGGAGGTGCAGTAGTATTGGAGGTGCAGTAGTATTGGAGGTGCAGTAGTATTGGAGGTGCAGTAGTATTGGAGGTGCAGTAGTATTGGAGGTGCAGTAGTATTGGAGGTGCAGTAGTATTGGAGGTGCAGTAGTATTGGAGGTGCAGTAGTATTGGAGGTGCAGTAGTATTGGAGGTGCAGTAGTATTGGAGGTGCAGTAGTATTGGAGGTGCAGTAGTGTTGGAGGTGCAGTAGTGTTGGAGGTGCAGTAGTGTTGGAGGTGCAGTAGTGTTGGAGGTGCAGTAGTATTGGAGGTGCAGTAGTATTGGAGGTGCAGTAGTATTGGAGGTGCAGTAGTATTGGAGGTGCAGTAGTATTGGAGGTGCAGTAGTATTGGAGGTGCAGTAGTATTGGAGGTGCAGTAGTATTGGAGGTGCAGTAGTATTGGAGGTGCAGTAGTATTGGAGGTGCAGTAGTATTGGAGGTGCAGTAGTATTGGAGGTGCAGTAGTATTGGAGGTGCAGTAGTATTGGAGGTGCAGTAGTATTGGAGGTGCAGTAGTATTGGAGGTGCAGTAGTATTGGAGGTGCAGTAGTATTGGAGGTGCAGTAGTATTGGAGGTGCAGTAGTATTGGAGGTGCAGTAGTATTGGAGGTGCAGTAGTATTGGAGGTGCAGTAGTATTGGAGGTGCAGTAGTGTTGGAGGTGCAGTAGTGTTGGAGGTGCAGTAGTATTGGAGGTGCAGTAGTATTGGAGGTGCAGTAGTATTGGAGGTGCAGTAGTATTGGAGGTGCAGTAGTATTGGAGGTGCAGTAGTATTGGAGGTGCAGTAGTATTGGAGGTGCAGTAGTATTGGAGGTGCAGTAGTATTGGAGGTGCAGTAGTATTGGAGGTGCAGTAGTATTGGAGGTGCAGTAGTATTGGAGGTGCAGTAGTATTGGAGGTGCAGTAGTATTGGAGGTGCAGTAGTGTTGGAGGTGCAGTAGTGTTGGAGGTGCAGTAGTATTGGAGGTGCAGTAGTATTGGAGGTGCAGTAGTATTGGAGGTGCAGTAGTATTGGAGGTGCAGTAGTATTGGAGGTGCAGTAGTATTGGAGGTGCAGTAGTATTGGAGGTGCAGTAGTATTGGAGGTGCAGTAGTATTGGAGGTGCAGTAGTATTGGAGGTGCAGTAGTATTGGAGGTGCAGTAGTATTGGAGGTGCAGTAGTATTGGAGGTGCAGTAGTAATGGAGGTGCAGTAGTATTGGAGGTGGAAGCAGTAATGGAGGGGATGGGAGGAGGAAGCGCGCTGGTAGGTGCAGTAGTGGGTTCACACATGGGGTATCGGCCTTCCTCATTCACCCCTTCATCCCCTCTTCCCCTCCTTCCGCTCCTCCTGTCCAATCCCCTTCCTCTCCTCTATCCCATCCCAACCTCCCCGTACCCCACGACAGCACCCAGTGGGCAGTGATGGACGAGCAAGCGCGCAGAGCAGAGCAGCAGTGGGCGCACACAGTCACCCGTACTCTAATCTTATCAGTGCAGCAGTGGGTGCACACGCACACGTGGGCTGATTGCCTTCCTCATTCTTTCTCATATCCTCACTCTCACCCCTTCATCCCCTCCTCCTCACAGCACGCAGCAGTGACAGCGATGGACGAGCAGGCACGCAGGGCAGAGCAGTAATGGGTTCATTCATGGGCTAACGAGCCTTCTCATTCTTTCTCATGCCCTCCTCCCCTCCCCCACACAGCACGCAGTGGCAGTGATTGACGAGCAGGCGCGCAGAGCAGAGCAGCAATGGGTTCTTACTGTAACCCAAGCCAGTGGCAGCAGCAACTGCAGTAGCAGCGGCAGATGCAGAGGCAGCGGCAGCGGGGGGTGTGAGGTGGATATGTATCCTGCCTTCACTGCTCTCACTCTTGGCATCATCGGCCTTGCTGCCTTTGGCTCCCCTGTCAGCAGCAGAGGGGCGCGCAGCACAGCTGCTAAAAGCAGCGGGGCGAGTCCTGCTAGCAGTGATAGGAAGGAGATGGAGGAGGAGGGGCAGGGAGGGAATGAGGAGAGGCGGGCAGAGGAGGAGGGGAGGAGTGTGAGGGAGGTGTATGGAGGGGGAGAGGAGGAGGGGAGGAGTGTGAGGGAGGTATATGAGGCGGTGAGCACTCTCAGCACTGGAAGCACAGAGCGTTTCTTCTCAGGCCGCTTCCTCATCCCCTTCTATACGTGAGTTCGTTTTGGTGCGATCTTAAACAGGGTAGCTCCTTCAGTCCGCTCAGCCACGCTCAGCCACGCTCAGCACTCGCAGCACTGGAAGCACAGAGCGTTTCTTCTCAGGCCACTTCCTCATGCACTTGTATACGTGAGCCTCTATTGGGCTCCCAAAGCAGAGGATCTCTCTCATCCCTCTTAGTAATCCCAGCCCTCTCGGTTCCTCCAGCCGTTTAACAGTCTCAGTCATGCTCAGTACTCGAGGCACAGAGAGGTTCTTGTCTCGCAGAGGTTCTTGTCTTGCAGAGGTTCTTGTCTCGTTTCCCCCTTTTGAGAATTCTCAAAACTAGTACCAGCACACGTTGACTTTTGAGTCGACTCAAAAGTCGGTTCTTGTCTCGTTTCCCCCTTTTGAGAATTCTCAAAACTAATACCAGCACACGTTGACTTTCGAGTCGACTCAAAAGTCGGTTCTTGTCTCGTTTCCCCCTTTTGAGAATTCTCAAAACTAGTACCAGCACACCTGAAACGAGATCTCAGCAAGCAGTATTGCTTGCGCCCTGTTACTCCATGCTGTCTTTTTTTTAGGCGCCTCAAAAGCAGTATTGCTTGCGCCCTGTTACTCCATGCTGTCTCCCACTCCTCCCTCACGTGCCATCAGCTTGCGATGCGGCCCACCCAGGAGAGCAAATCGCTGCAGCAAGCAAGCAGTGATGCGTGCTTCAGTAGGCTGCAGCGCTCTCTGTTTCTCACTCTTGCATCCCTCTCTTCCCCCCCCCCCGGCCGCCCACGTGCCGCCGAGCTAGTCCTCCATGATTTGCGGTGAGTAGTCAGCTGATCCGTGGTGAGTAGTCAGCTGATCCATGGAGTGAAATCGGGATCCGAGTAGTCCCTCTCTTGGATCAGCTGACTACTCACCGCGGACCAGCTGACTACTCACCGCGGATCAGCTGGACTACTCACCGCGGATCAGCTGACTACTCACCGGGGATCAGCTGACTACTCACCGCGGATCAAGGAGGACTGAGCATTGCAGCCAGTAGGGAGAGGACTATTGAGGCGCCTTGAAAAGATATTGAATTGCCCCCTGCTCCCCCCCCCCCCTCCCCCCCCCCCTTCTTCCCCCACGTGCCATCAGATGGCTGCCCACCCAGGAGAACAGAGCCCTGCAGCAAGCAGCGGAGAAAGTGACGCGGCTGTCTCTAGACCTGATTGCAAGGCGCAGACAGGAACAAGCGGTGAGGGTTGGGGTTGGGTTGTTTGACAAGGGGAGAGGGAGGAGGAAGAGCAGGAGAGGAGAGAGGGTCACAGCAAACAGCAGCGGAGGAAGTGACGCGGCGGTCTCTAGACCTGATTGCGAGGCGGAGACAGGAGCAAGCGGTGGGAGCTTGGTTGGTGTGTAGGAGGGAAGCTGGTGGTTTAAAGGAAGAAGCGCTGATTGGAGAAGAGAGCGCTGCAGGTTTGGGGGGTTGGTGGGAGAAGAGAGCGCTGCAGGTTTGGGGGGTTGGTGGGAGAAGAGAGCGCTGCAGGTTTGGGGGGTTGGTGGGAGAAGAGAGCGCTGCAGGTTTGGGGGGTTGGTGGGAGAAGAGAGCGCTGCAGGTTTGGGGGGTTGGTGGGAGAAGAGAGCGCTACAGGTTTGGGGGGTGAGAGCTGGGGTCGTTTGTGGGGACGGGGGGAAGTTTGGGGGGTTGGTGAGAGACGAGAGCACTGCAGCAAGCAGGGGAGAGGGTGAGACGGCTGCCTTCCCCCCCTTCCCCCTCCCCCCCGTTCCCCTTTCCCCCTTCCCCCTTTCCCCCTTCCCCAGTCCCCCATTCTCCCCTTCAACTTTTTCCCATTCCCCCATTCCCCTCTTTCCCCCTTCCCCTCTTCCCCCCTTCCCCTCTTCCCCCCTTCTCCCCGCACCCCTTCCCCTCTTCCCCCCATCCCCTATTCTTCCCTTCTCCGCCCCTTCCCCTCTTACTCCCTTCTTCCCACACCCCTTCCCCCATTCCCCCCATCCCCTCTTCTTCCCTTCTCCGCCCCTTCCCCTCTTCCCCCTTCTCCCCGCACCCCTTCTCCCATTCCCCCCAGGGCGACTCAAGGAAGGATCTTCTGGCAGTGATGCTGGCAGCGAGGGATGACGTCAGCAACGAGCAGATGACCGACCAGCAGCTGGTGGACGAATGCGTCACCTTCCTATTGGCCGGTACAGTGCGGTGTTGTGCAGTGCAATGCGGTGCTGGGCGGTGCTATGAGGTGCTGTGTGGCGCTGGGGGGTGGGTGGGTGCTGCTGTGCGGTGATGAGGGGTGCTGTGCGGTGGTGGAGTGTATGACGTCAGCAACGAGTGCAGTGCAGAGGCGAGTGCAACACAGGTCATGCTCCCATGCTCTCCCACCCCTCCCATCGTTTCAGGCCACGAGACGACAGCCAAGCTGCTCACATGGGCTGTGTACCTGCTAGCCCGCTACCCCGATTGGCAGAGGCTAGTGAGGGAGGAGGGTGTGACATGTTCCATCCATTCCCCACCCATCCCACTATTTCAGGCCACGAGACGACAGCGAAACTACTCACCTGGGCTGTGTACCTGCTGGCCCGCTACCCCGATTGGCAGAAGCGAGTGAGGGAGGAGGTGTGGCGGGTGATGGGGAGAGAGGAGATGCCTGAAGGTGGGGGAGGAGGAGGAGGAGGGGCGAACAGGGAGGGAGGGGGGGAGAAACTGGGGGTAGGAGGGGAGAAGGGTGAGGGAGGAGGGGAAGGGGAGAAGGAGGAGGGGGGAGGGGAAGCGGCGAAGGGCAACAGGGGGAGGGGGGGCGGAAGAAAGGTGACGTGGGAGCAAGTGGGGCGGTTGAGCGAGATGCACATGGTGCTGCTAGAAACACTCCGGCTCTTCCCCCCGACCCCTGTCATCACCCGCGAAGCAAGCAAGGTGAGGCCCTTTCAAGCAAGCAAGGTGAGGCCCATGCGATTCAGTGTGGGTATGAGCGTACGAGCGCAAGTGATAATGCGTGTTAGCAAGTGATAATGCGTGTTAGCATGTGATAATGCGTGTTAGCAAGTGATAATGCGTGTTAGCATGTGATAATGCGTGTTAGCAAGTGATAATGCGTGTTAGCATGTGATAATGCGTGTTAGCATGTGATAATGCGTGTTAGCATGTGATAATGCGTGTTAGCATGTGATAATGCGTGTTAGCATGTGATAATGCGTGTTAGCATGTGATAATGCGTGTTAGCATGTGATAATGCGTGTTAGCATGTGTCTTGGAGGACACTCAGGCAAGTGGGGCAGGTGAGCGAGATGCACATGGTGCTACTGGAAGACTCAGCAAGGGGAAGGGGGGCGGAAGGAAGGTGACGTGGGAGCAAGTGGGGCAGCTGAGCGAGATGCACATGGTGCTACTCTGACCCATGGTCGGGGGGGGAGATGCAAATGGTGCTGCTCTGACCCATGGTCGGGGGGGGAGATGCAAATGGTGCTGCTCTGACCCATGGTCGGGGGGGGAGATGCACATGGTGCTGCTCTGACCCATGGTCGGGGGGAAACACTCCAGCTCTTCCCCCTGGCCCCTGTCATCACCCGCGAAGCGACCTTTCTTCACTCGCTTCCATTCCCTCCCCTTCCCTATTGCAGCACGTCTCGCTGGGCCCCTACTGGCTCCCAGCAGGCACGCGCATCACTATGGCCATCGGCATGGCGCAGAGCGACCCGCGCTTCTGGGGGGAGGACGCTCTAGAGTTCAACCCAGCACGCTTCAAAGGTGAGATTCAACCGATCAAACCTCAGCGGTGGGCCGGGGAGGAAGCTCAGCGGCTCATTCGGGTGGGATTCAGAGATGGGCAGGACAGCCATACCATGGCTCAGAGGTACCCTCGCTTCTGCGGGGAGGACGCGTTCGGGTACCCTACTGCCCTCCCTCTCCATCTGCCCCCAAAGATGGGATACAAGGAGCATGCCCACAGTGTGCTCCCTGAGAAACAATTTCTCACCCTATAAGGAGCGAGCAAGGAGGCTGCGCAGCACAAATGCACTTGGAGTGCTTGGATGTATGTATGGTACAAAACTATATGGAAAAAACTTTTGAGAATTCTCAAGAGTGATTTACTTGGAGTGTTTGGATGTATGGTACAATACTAACCTCGTGGCATATTCACTTGAATAGTGGCCAGGAGAATGTTGCCAACTGGCATGACCTAACTGGCAGTTTCCAAGGCCACCCGCACCTTCGCAACGGTTGCTGACAAAGCAGATGCTGTGGAAAAGGTGTGTGCCAGCAGCTGCCAAAACTACCTTCCTCCCCTTTTCAGAAGTCCCCACACCCACAGATGGGATACAAGGAGCATGCTTATCGTACACCCGCAAGCCTTGGAGTGGACTCATGACTCCCTTCCTAAGCCCTCTATGCGTCTCCACTTCCATAGATGGGATACAGGGAGCATGCTCACACCCACAGGCGTTTCTGCCATTCTCAGCGGGCCCTCGAGACTGCATCGGCTCAAACTTTGCTCTCTCGGAGGCCAAGGTGGTTCTTGCACACATGCTGAATCGCCTCGAATGGGAGCTCTCACCCACTTATGTACACTTGCCGACTATGGGGATCGCACTTAGCCCTAAATACGGCATGCCCCTGCGGATGAGGCTCGTGGAGTAGTCAATGATATATGATACCTGTATTGGATGTGGGAATTTGTTAAAGTATTTGCCCTGCATATGCAAAACTAGTTTTGCTGCTTTGATTTGTAACCTGGCATATGCATACGTGTTATAACAAACGACCTATAGTGGAGCATTTCAATTGAAAACGGCAAAATGAAGGATGTGGCAAAAAATTCTGTAGTATGCGGTAACCAGGCCGTGTTATGGGGAACACTGAAGCGTGTACCGCTTTTCTCCACAATGTGGAGTCTGATGTGGTCAAACGGTTCGCGCCAATTTCTGCTCCACCTCGTGCCTGACAGGCTGGTGCTGCCTTGCAAATGGTGCTGACACCACACCCTACAACCAATCAGCACTCGCAACGACCGGCTCAAATTCCAGTTTGAATCTCGTTGGAGTTGGAGCATTTACAATGCGCCCTGCACCAGGTTTGATGGATATTCAACACCTGCCCCCTCCTGGCTTGACTGAGCAGCACAAGTATCCTTCAATATATTGCACTGCGTGCGTCAGCACGCAGTGCAATGAGTCTGCGGGCAAGGAAAAAAATAAAACCCACTCGGAAGGCATGCCATTCGGGAGGCATCAACCCTAAAAGTTTAGGGTTGAGGCTCCCGAATGGCATGGACTCCGAATGGGTTTTAGTTTTTTCCAGCCCGCGGTCAGCATGCTGACTCACTCGGTAGCGTCGTCTAGCGGAACGGTAGCGCTACCGAGCGCTACTGACGCTACCAAGTGTAATATATTTGCCACATTAAATTTGGGTTTCACGACTTCTGTTACATTCTACTACGGTTTTGAGAGATTCAGTGTCCAGTAAGGGCTGATTTTGGCGCGAACCCATACTACCCAGCCACACAATCCCACAAGAGCATCCTCCTCTCCTCTTCCGTGTTGTTGTTCGTACAACTCTCTCCATTTGTTCAACTCAGGTCGGTTTTACTAGAGCAGCAACTAGTAGTCCTTTTTTCTCCCCGGCAAAGTATTAGCTTGTTAATTAGGAACAGGTCCGTCACAGGAGCCTTGGCCTGGGGCGATTGAGACTGCTAGTAAAGAAATATCGTTTTCGATACTCGTTGCTACATTTCCCTGAAAATTTGAGACGTCCACCGCTCTTGCGACGATTATAAGATTTTTCCACATCATAGATACAGAAGTTTTGTTTCGCATAGTAGTTAAACGAAATGGCAGGTGTTGACAGACACAGAGGCACCTCAAAAGGCGGCTCTACCGCGGCAGGCGGCGGGAGCATGTGGGCGGGAGACGATGTGGCTGTCCGCGTCTTCCCGTCGCCATCTCCGCGAAGAAAACACCAGTCGCTCTCGCGAGTAACCCACTCGTCGCCCGTTTCGCCAACAGCTACCTCACCCCCCCTCGGCCCTTCGCGACTGTTTGCGTCGCCACCCGCATATCGCGAAAGAGTTTCGCCATATCGTGACAGTAGCGGTACTTACTGCGACCGACTCAAACGAAGCTCGGGCGGACGCGGGCGGGGAAGCGGTGGTGGCGTAGCAAGTGGCGCGACAGAAACTCCACCGCGGGAGCGGAGTTGTGGCGCAAGGGGGTTCCGCGCGTGGATTTGCTCCGCCGGCTCCGCTTCCGCCGTTCCGCCGCTGTTTCGCTTGCGCGCGCTGAACAGGCTACCTCGCGCACTAGCAGGCGGAGGCTGCATCTCAATCCTGCTTTTATTCGTCCTCGTTTTAGTCACCCTCGGTACAATCCTCCCTTATCTGCAATCTGAACGACAGTTCTTCGAAGACGTTTTGGAGGAAGCGCGGGCTGCACTCCGACGCCAAAATTTCATGAAACCGGTCCAGTTGCCGGACGCCTCGTCAGGTTTTCTCGAGGTGCCCGATGTTGTCGGGCAGCGGCGGTTTAGACAGCTGCTAAGCGTCGGCGATGGGGAAGGTGGGGAGAGCGGGGAGGGTAGGGAGATCGGGGAGGGCAGGGAGGGCGGAGAGGGCGGAGAGGGCGGGGAGGGCGGGGAGGAGAAGGGCGGGGAGGGCGGGGCTGTGTTGGAAGGAGGGGCAGGGTTCTTGGAGCAGCAGGCAGCGGATCAGCGGCGCCAGGAGCAGCTGCAACAGCGGGAGCAGGAAGGATCTAGTTCTGTGCTTGAAATGGTGGTAAGATAAAAGTCGAATCGTCGTCAAGCAACGTTCCTACTACCACGAGTAACGGGCCCGCCATTAGCGAATACAATCTCTTCGTGGACTCCCCCGAGATACAGCGCGAGCTGCGCGCAGTTGAAGAGCGCAGCGGCATTCCCTGGGCCTCCCTGCCCGCCGCTTGGTGGGGAGACGCTGCGCCATGGCCGAAACTACAAGGAGGTTTCCTCTGGGACGACGGTGGCAACTGTGAGAGCGACAATAACGGAAGTGACAATCACGAGAGCGGGAGAAATAACTCGGAGGCGCTCCGGACCCCCGCCCCCGGCGTTCCCGCCCGCGCGCTCCCCGCTCCCCGTTCCCCCCGCCAATTCCTGTTCTTCTCTCTGCGCAACGAGGCCTGCGCGGGGGTGGCGCACACGCGCACCAGCCTCGCGTGCCAGCTGTCCGTCGCGCGCGCGCTCCGTCGCACGCTGCTCGTGGACGCGTCCCAATGCACCGCGCCCGAGCACGTGCGCGCCGCCGGCACGCGCCGGCACGTGCAGCCTCTGTTCGCGTACTTCGACCTGGCGCGCGTGAGCCTTGCGCCCATGGCTCCGCTGCAGCGGTTCGCACAGGAAAGCGCAGGGTGGGGGGCGCGGAACGGGGAAGGGGCGCGGGGAGGGGAAGGAGAGCAGATAGAGAATGGGGAGAGTGGGGAGCATGGCGAGTGGGAACGAACGAGTGAGATGGGGGAGGAGATGAACGGGCAGGCGGAGCGCCGAACGGCTGCAATAGCTCCGGAATCCGCAACCCTGGAGGACCTGCTTCGGCTATCCGAACCTGTGTTGCTGGTTCGGCAGGCAGCCACGGGATTTGCGGACTGCGAAGACCCCAGGAACAGCGGCCGGGTGGCTTCTGATTGGTCGGCCGTAGAGTACCGGCAGGAGCTGTGGGCGGTAGTGGGGCAGATTATAGCGAGTATGGATGGAGGGGACTACGATGCTGTGCATGTGAGGCGGGGGGATAAGGCGAGGGATACAAGTCGCTGGCCCAACCTTGCTCGAGACACCTCTGTTGAAGCGTAAGTTGCTTGGTACACTTCTGTTCAAGAGTAGTTATCCTAAAAGCCGCAATTGCTTGTCACCTTGCCAAGTGTTCACTCCACATTCCCTTCCTCTTAATGGACAAGCCACATAGCCCCTATTCCACATGGCAGGAGGGGAAGAGATTCGGGGAGACAGCGGAAGGCGTGCTGCATGAGCAGCGTGGGCGCAGTGGGGCTGGCGTGGATGCTTTTCCAGGCTCCAGCACCATCTTTGTTAGGAAACCCGCCTTCGTCAGGCACAATGCCCCCTCTAGCAGCCAAGCTTTCTCAAGCAAAAACACCTTTGTTAGAAACAACACCTGATTTTCGTATTCCCCCGCCCCACCCGCTTCATCTCCCTTCCCCGGTCTGGCAGAGAAGCTTCCCAACCTCATCCCTCTCGGGAGATCGGTGTGCATCGCCAGCTCCTTGTGGGACCATCACACCCATCCAATTTATGTTGACGTGACTTTTGAGTTTTCTCAAAAGTCACGTCAACCCAGCTCCTCCTTTGACTGGCACGCCCATCCAATGTAGCACCTCTCTCCCTGTGCCCTCCCATTGCCATCCCTCTGCGCTCCCCTTCCTCTCTGTCCCCCAGCCTAGCAAAGAAGCTTCCCCAGCTCATCCCCCGCGGGCGGTCAGTGTATATCGCGAGTGACGAGGCCCCCTCCTTCTTTGATCCACTGCGAGCGGGTCAAGGCGGGCCAGGGAAAGTAGGAGGGCGAGAAGGGCAAGGGGAGGCAGACGAACAAGCAGGGCAAGGGGAGCAAGGGGGCGCGGGGGAGGGAGAGAGGGGAAAGGGCGGAGGGGGACTGTACCGAGTGCATATGCTGGGGGACTATGCACACCTGTGGGGGGAGGGCAGCGACTGGTGGAGGGCGCAACTGGCGCTCATGGAGGGCCAATGGGAGGTGGCATTCGATACCTACATGGAGGTGAGGGCATGTAAGGTTGTGAGAGTGAGGAAAATTTGTGCATGGCTGTTGAGACAATCAGCTTTAATTGGAGTGTTCTTACGCTGTGGCATGGGGGCGCAGGGAGGCGGTGGTATTTGATGCTTTTATAGAGATGAGGATATGGTAGTTTATAAGACTGGGACACAAGGAGTTGGTCGAACAGGTTTGTTGTGCTGTGAAAATATTATTCCCTTTGCACCCTACTACCTTGACAACATATTGCAATTTTCCTTTCATTGAATGCCTTTCACAACTTATACATGATGTCAAATGTCTTCCAACACCGTGGGATGTCAAACGGTCATTGTCTTTCCTCTTCCCTCCATTGAATTTTCTTCTTCAACGCAATGTCCGTCAGGCCATAGTGGACTATTCCGCCTTTGCGGCGGCCCGAAGAAGAGTGGAAACTTTCAATGACTTGACAAACGATCCTCGGAATGGCATCTCGTCATGACTACTACCTCTGAATAAACACCAACATTGGAAACCAAAAATGGGGCATATGTGCTCCCGGATCTGGTAAAACTATGGTTGACTGATCACCTCTCACCTATCCGTTTCCCAGCCGCATTGTGTGCGCATGTGCTGGATTCTGTTGATGGATTGACGAGATGGTGGGTGCTTAGATGATTTGTAACTTACGATTATTCAGTTGTATTTGCGCTGTAGTATTTGTGTTCATGGTTGCAAAAAGTTTCACCTTCTGCCGAAGTTGTCAGTAGCTGACGGTGACGACTTCATTGCGTGCACTCGATCTTGTTTTGATTTGGCGAAAATTCCTGAGGTCTCGCCTCCGCAGTTTGAGTTGACGGCCACATCGCCCAAGCATTTTTGCCAGGTTTTCCAACGGGTCCAAGCACTCGAAATTTTGTTCGGAAAGCTGCAGAGACGAGGGTGGGTGGGGTGTCCCCGAAGAAAGGAATGTTGGAGGTGAAGAAACGTTACTCTCGTCTCGTGCGTCAAAATGTTTAGCACCATCGCCTGTGACCATTCAGGTTCACGGAGGGAAGCAATTTTGCGTTCAAGTTCCTCGACAAATTTCGCTCCACACAGCTGGCAGCACAGTGCGACGGGCGAAATCACGACGAAATCTTGGTCACCTGGGCACCGTCGCTCATTACCGGTCGCTCATAACCTTCTGACAGCAATAACTGCCCGCGAGACCAGCTCAAGACAAAAGTTTTTTTCAACAGCACCCATCGGCGTTACCCGCCCTCTGGCAAGTTGGTCGGTTCGCGCTGATTGCATCGCACATTCCACCGAGTCGCATTTCGTGACATTCCAATGTCGCGGCTTGGATGCGGGATCCTCTCTCCTCCCCGCCCCCCGGAACCGACCATCTGCCACATTGCATGTGGCATGTGCAATGGAATCAAATGCCTACAAAACTCGAGACTTCTGTCACCAGACCCGCAACCGATTCGTTTTCAACTAACATTTGCAACATATTTTTGTTTCCCAGCATTTCTCGCAACCCTGCCACTTTTTTGGCACCCGTCTCCTCGTGACCACCAGCAATTCCGTGTGACAGCTACTCCACGCCAGCTATGTCGACTACTCGTTTGTTCTTGGCGCTTCTGGCGATTCTCGCCCTCTCATGTAAGACCCTCTCATTTGGTCACCGAAAAACGGCATTCCAGTTCTCAGCAATGGATTCCACGCTTGTCAATCTCTTGAAGAGCCGAACTCCCATCGGAACACTTCAAATATGTCATTGCTCGAATCCCGTTCCCTGTTTTAACTCCCCATGCTTCGTCAATGCTTGCCCTCCCGTCCTTCAGGCCAAACTGACGCCAGAATGCTCCAAGCAGTCCCCGCCATTCCCGCCGACCCCGCCATCCCCCCCGACCTCGCCAACCCCGCCGACCCCGCAAACCCTGACATCACCACCAACCCCGTCACTATCACCGATCCCGTCCCCGACTTCGAGCCGCAAACCGCGGAACCTTCCGACATTCCCGGAGCTCCCACTCCCTCCGGGAAACTCGCCGGCACCGCCGCCGCGCCGAACCCGAAAGCGAGAGGTCCCGCAGGCCACAAGGTCACTGCTGCCACTCCCAAGGAGAAGGGCAATGCTCCAACCCCCAAGGGCAAGGCTCCCGGCGGAAAGGCTGCCCCCGGCGGAAAGCAGCCCCCCGGCGGAAAGCAGGCGCCGGGCGGAAAGCAGGCTCCAGGCGGAAAGCAGGGGCCGGGCGGAAAGCAGGCGGCAGGCGGAAAGCAGCAGGGCGCAGGCGGCGCAGGCGCAATCCGCGGACCGAAGGCGCATCCCGCCCCCAGCCCCGCCCCAAGCCCTGCTGCTGGCCCCAGCTCCGCGGAAAACAAGAAGAAGCCGGTGGGTCAGGAGGTGGGGAAGGTGGGAACCGTCCTCCGCGGATCGTCCGTCATCACCGCAGCCGGCGGCGACGAGAACGCGACGGGCAACGCTATCCTGACCGTCTATAAGAGCGGCGCGAAGATGAACGTCAGGTATATCCTGTCCGTACGGCGCGTTTCTGCGGCCCAGCTGCCGATGGGTGCGACGATTAACAGCGGCGGAAGCAACGCGACTGGGCCGATGGTGGTCGATTTCGCCGGAGCCGACTGGGTGAACACGACGGGCGTCGTTCGCACGCAAGCTGGCGACGTCGTTCTCGCGTCGTCCGTCGCAGAGAACTCGACGGACGCGGCTGTCGCCGAAGCCGCGGGCGACTATCTCAGCTATGCGACGACCGGAGTGTGGGAAGACGTCGCCAACACTCGCACGGCCTCTGGCGAAGTCCTTTCCACCGTGATCGATAAAATTCTGGCTGACCCGGGCAGCTTTTACCTGGTTGTGTCAACCCCGAATTTCAGCGAGGGGGCGGTGCGCGGGCAGTTGCGCAAGGGCACCGGCGCAACTGTGCTTCCGCCCAGCCACCAGCGCCAGTGGGAGCAAAGGGGGAAGAAGAAGGCGGGCAAGGGGGAAAAGGTGAAATCCCCCCGCAACTAGACATTTCCAGCCGAGCATTACACCTCGTGCGACTCCCCGATGGTGTAGTAGGCGTTTACAAGATCCATCCTCTGTTTGGATCGTAGCTTCTTAGTGTAGCTAGTAGCTTTATACAACGGCATGCTTATCTTTGCCTGATACCATGTCATAAATGGAACGATTTTCGGCTGTACTGAGTATCATGCCCTCTCACAAGCCAGGCTCAACATGGTAGGGTTATGCTTTTGGCCTCACCAGCAGAAGTGATGGGCATGTTATGTCAAAGTCTCTCGGTGGAATAAGAATCTGCTTAAGGCGCATGGTACAGAATGCTAACTCAAGCCACCCAATCATGCATCTGAGAGGGTGTGGTGATGATGATGAAGATGGGGAAATGAAGGCAGGTTAGGGTATGGTATGGCTGTGGCCTATGATAGGGTGTGGGTAGGTTGAATTTTGAACTTGTTGGGCTGAGAAAAAGCCCTTAGGAACTTTCAGGACTAAGATCGGGTGTTGACGTAGAGATGTAATAGCGGAAGCGTTTAATGAAGAGTTGTCGTGAACCACCTTGTACTGGTGTGTGAGAACAAGATAAGTTGATTATAGCAGAGAAGTACAAGGCTTTTATATGATTACAAAAGAATATGGAAAGTTCTATTTTAATTGTTTTTGCTGTTGCGGTTCGATACAGTGCCGACTCGGGTAACTGCTCTGTAACGAGTCAGTTATGTGTCCTTGCTGTCGCACTGTACGTTTCGTCAGGTCAAAGGTCGGGGACCTTTGACCTTCGCGCAACCTCCGACGGTTGCCTTGGTTGACTCGAGTGCTTCTTCGCTGTAGTCAGTTCCGTTTTGTATCGAAGCTTCGATACGACAGAAGCGTTATAAATCACTTGTTTCCAACACTCCCCTTCGCTTCTGGAGGATCGTTGCTGATGACGTGTCCTTGTCCAGTCAGCAGCATGCAGTGTTCGAACTTCTGTTTTCCGAGTTTCTTGGTCAAGTAGTCAGCTGCCATCTCGGATGTGGGACAGTAGGATAGTTCGAGTCTTCCCTTTTCGATCTCGTCTTTCACGAAGAAGTACCGAAGGGCGATGTGCTTCGTTCGATTCGCGAACCCGTTTTTGTTCGCTATGCGAATGGCCGATTGGTTGTCGCAGAAGAGAGAGAAATTGGGTAACTGGGCCAATTTTGCTTCCTCCAGTAGTTCGCGAAGATATAGCCCTTCCTTGGTTGCTGAGCAGAGTGTGATATATTCTGCTTCTGCTGACAAGAGAGCAATTAGCTCTTGCTTGTTCGACTGCCATGAGATAGGCGCGATAGGTTCGAGTCTGTAGACGTAGCCGGTTCTAGACCGTCTGTTGTCGGAGTCTCCAGCGTGATCCGCGTCGACATAACCGATTAGCTTAGGTGTTGCGGTGCTGGTTTTGTGGTAGGTGAGGCCGATCGTCGGAGTGCTGACGAGATAGTGAAGCGCTCGGTCGAGTTCGAGCATGTGCTCTGCTTCAGGTTTCTTGAGGTAGGTAGCAAGTTGACTAGCTGAGTAGGATAGATCCGGTCGACAGGTGACGGCTGCGAAGAGTAGGCAGCCTAGTTTCCTTTTGGTAGTCGCGGACGCCAGCAGGTTTGAGTAGGGCTGAGCCTTTTCGATTTCCGTCGGTGTAGCGGTATGGTGTGGAGATAGCCGTTGGGATGAGTCCGAAGCGTTTAGCAATAGTATCCGTGTATTTAGCAGCGCTGAGGTAGATGGCATTGTCGCCGTCTTCGATGTTCAGTCCTAGGTACTGTGTCACGGTGGTTGCGACGGTGAGAGTTAGATCTCCCTGCAGCTCCCCTTCAAACCATGTCGTTACAGCGTCGGTGGAGCCTATGTAGAGAAGATCATCGACGTAGACGATAAGTAGAATGTAGTCGGTGCCTTTTGTCAGTCGATACATCCCTTGGTCGTGTGGTAGCTGAAGAAATCCGATGCGAATTAGGCGGGCGTGAAGGTGCTGCTGCCACAGTCTCGGAGCCTGCTTGATCCCGTACAACGACTTCTCCAGTTGACAGATTTGGTTTGGGCCTGCGTTGGTCCCGTGCGGGAGTTCGACGAAAATCTCAGCGTCGACGGGGGCGTAGAGGAAGGCGTTGGCGACATCGATTTGTCGGAGCTTCTTCCGGTTCATGGCGGCGATTGCGAGGAGAATTCGCAGTGAGGTATGTCGGCTTACTGGGGCGAATGTTTCCGTGAAGTCTCGCCCTTGCTCTTGGTCGAAGCCCCGCATGACCCAGCGTGCTTTGAACTTGTCGATTGTTCCGTCGGCTTTCGTTTCACGCGGAAAACCCATTTTCCCGTGAGGATAGTTTTGTTGCGTGCCACTCCGATAGGCACGACTTTCCAGGTGTTGCGTTCCTGCAGTGTCTTCAGTTCTTTATCCATGGCTTCACGCCATTTTTCCCTGTGTTCCCCCCCCAGAGCCTGCTGAATTGTCGGAGGCTCCTTAGGTGGTTTCGCTCCGTGGACGGCGGTGACAAGTCCCAGTATCTGCAGGCCACTCTGTGTGTAGCGGGGGAGATTTGTGTCCTCTGGATAAGCTGCTTCGTCTCCTGCTTCGGGGTCTGGTAAGAAATTTGGTCCTATGCGTTCGGAGATGTTGGTGTCGACCGGTTGAGGTGTAACGTAACCGGTGTCGGCGAAGTCGAAAAATGTTTCGGCGTTGATGCTTTTGCGAGGATTTTCGTCATCCATCGGGATAGGCACGGAGCAGTATGGGAGTGGTCCTGCTTCTTCGGATGCGTTGTCCACGTTTTGCTCGTCCCAGTCAGCTTCGTCTGCTGCTGAAGCAAAGGCTCGGTTGCCACGGAAGCCGCCCGTGAGGTCTCGATTTGCTGCCAGGTTGTCCAGGTACGTTTGAAGTGTGAGTCGCTCGTAGAAGATGACATCACGTGCTGCCAATGTTTCCTTCGAGTGGACGTAAAAAATCTTCCATGCGTTGTAATGCTTTTCGATGCCCAGGTGTAGTCCCCACTGTGCGCGTTGAGAAAATCTTCCGGCTCTTGCAGTGTGTGGGCGATACTGTACCATGCACCCGAAGACTCGTAACATTTTTGTGTTGCCCAACTTTCCTGTCCATAGCAGGTGCGGTGATGCGTTGTTCGGAAGTGACGACGACGTAAGCAAGTTGTGCAGCATGACAGCGTGGTCCATCGCCTCAGGCCACTGGTGATTGGGCAGACGCATGCCACGCAGCAATTTGCGCATGGTGTTCTGGAGAGTTCTGTTCATCCGTTCTGCCACGCCTTGCTGTTGATGGGCGTAGGGAAGCGAGATGAGTCGCTTGATGCCTCGTGTTGCGAGGTACTGCCTGAACCTCTGGGACTGATATTCCCCTCCTCCATCAGACTGGAAGCTTTTCAGCTTTGCGCCCGATTCTCGTTCTGCCACAGGTAGCCAGGCGACGAAGGCTTCGAAGGCCATGTCGCGACTTGGAAGATTAAGGTGCCAGACGTAACGGGTGGCAGCGTCAATGAAAGTGATTACGTAGTTATATGCGCCTTGTCCTTGTTCGCGAGTATACAGAATGTCGCTGTATACTTTCTCGAGTGGTGCATAAGCTGGCGCGCTTGGACTGTGGTGAGAAGCGAACGGTTGATGTGGTAAGTCGGCTTCGGAACAGGTAAAGCATGTTCCGCGGACTCGTTGGAGTTCTCTGCCGTCAGGTAGAAGTAGTGAGTCTTTGTCGAGCACTGCTGCCTTGATTGTGTTGTTTAACGTGGTGTTGCTTGGATGACCTAGTCGTTCGTGCCACAGGGATTCACTTGCACGATGTCCGGGTGAGCGCATGTATAGGTGGGAGTTGGAGTAAAAGGCGGCGGTGAAGTGGGCGCTTCTGTGAACTTCTCTTGGAGTGGGAGCTAGCTGCTGCGCAGGAGTCGGTGGAGTGTCGTCGATGATTGTTGGTGCCGTCGAAGAGCTCGCGATTGGTGTTGTAAGTGTTGTAGGTGTTGCCGATGTTGTCGCTGCTATCGTTGATGTTGTTTCTGCTGCTGTCGATGTTGTCTCTTCTTGTCGGATTGTTGCTAATGCCCGTGTTCTTTCTGCTTCAGGTATGGTATGTGAATACCAGAACCCTCTAGGGCTGAAGTCGGGGTCGAGGTCCGGTGGGTGCGTCCAAGAGGCGAAGTTGACGATGGCATCGCTATCGGCGGTGCCTTGATCTGGTACAAAGTCGAGGACGAAGACGTTATTTTTCAAGACCGCTCTGCTGATGTAGAGTCCTCCTCTACCGTGGAATAGTTTGAACTCCTGAGTGGTGCTGTCTGCTTCAAGATGGATCCCCTTCGCCATCAGTTGGCTGACGCTTAGTAAGTTGTAGCCAAGTCCTTGTGCAATCAGTACTTTAGACATTTGTAGGATGACGTTGGTTTCTCGGGATTGAAGTTGTACTACGCCTTGTCGTCGTGTGTGTAGGTTCTGGTTATTGGCCACGGTGATGACGACTTCGCGTTGAAGTTGGTGTTCTTGTTGAACGAAGCGACTTGAAGAACACATGTGTTGTCCGCAGCAACTGTCCAAGAACCAGGTGTCTTGCCCAGACGGCTCGCTTTGGGCGATAGCTGCATACGTTGGATTGGGTTCCAGTGATTCGCGGCGGGGAGTCCTTTCATCGAGTTGGTCTTCTGGTGAGTAGTGAGGTGGTGATCCGGTGACACATGAATCCGTCGTTCTTGTCATGCAGCTAACGATGTTTCTTGTTCCTTGTGCAGATTGCGATGTTTAGGATGTTGAAGTTTGCACTTGACTGGTGGGATGAGCCTCCGTAGAAGTTACTTGACTGCTTGAAGGCCGAAGTTGACGTTGCGGTGTTGTCGACTGCTGCTGATTCGGGCAGTGTGTGCGCGGATGACCGGACGTCTTGCAAAGGTGACAAAACGGTGGGACGTATTGTTGTACTTGTCGGTTGTTGTGTTGATTGTTGTTGTTGTTGTAGCGTCGTTGAGTGTGGAAGGCGAACTCCGATGCTAATGCTTTCTTCTTGT